AAAGCTGAAATAATGGGCAGTGTAGGTTAGGGGCCCTGGACATTAATAACGTAATGTGAGAAGCTCCTAATTTTTCTAAATATATTTTTTTTAAAATGAGAGCATTCCAAGTCTCAGTGAATTCTTAAATTAACTACTTAGACTGATTGACTTACGAAGTCAAAGGAAGGACTTCCATTCATCCATCCTTTCCTCCACTGCCATGTACACCTTCTTTGTAGTCAGAAAAATATGCAGGCCTTTTATCTCCAGCAAAAGAAATAAAACAGGATTTGGCAGCTTTAGAAAGAGAGGAAAAGGTAAGAAGAAAAAAGCCACTCAAACCTATATTGTACCAGAGTCATATACTTCATTCTCACAAAAACCTCTTCCTGTGCCAAAATTTATCTTTATTTTTTATTTTTCCTGTTTTTGAATTTCGCAGGAAAAAAATGCTCTGTAGTTGATTGATGATAGCACAAAAAAAGCAGTGTTGAAATTTTGGCACTGTGGACTCTGTAGCACAGGACTACATCTCCTGAATTAAATCCAGTGCTGGGCAGCAGGGACAAGGGAGGGGAAGATGTATACATACATATGTACTTACATGTTTGATATAAATTGTGTTAGTACATAGAATGTGGTGGCACATAATTTATAAATGATGATAAGAGTATTTGACATTCCATTATAAATTCCATATTGGTTCTCATGAGATAGAATCAAAAGTTGATTGAGTTTTGCCAAATCCTTGTAACTGTAGCAACTTAAAGTTAGAATGTGACCATGATTTGACAAAATTGGGTTATGCACAAATGCTTGATTACTATCTGATGTGATAAAGAGGTTGCTTATGTTATTGATTAACAAGTATTCTGGCATGAATGTTCATTTTTGTTTTTTTTTTATATTTAAGACCAAAGTGAAACGACTTCACTTGTTCAGCACTGGCATGAGTGAATTCTTCGCTTAATCTGATGATAGTTTTCAAATATTGGAAGCATATGGCATCCTTCAATTTTTTTTCCTATTCATATTAAATGGCTGCTGATGTATTTTTTCTCTCTTTTTTATTTGCACTGGTGATAGAACCCAGGGCCTTTGTACTGAGCTACATCCCCAGTCCTTATTATTTTATTTATTTATTTTTGAGACAAACATCTCCCTGAATTGCTCAAGCTGGTCTCAAATTTGCAATTCTCCTGCCTCAGCCTTCTAGAGTTGCTAGGATTATAGGCACACACCACTGTGCCAGCTGGTACACACTTTTAAATTTAATTTGCATTATTATTATCTCCTCTACTTTCCTAAGTTGACTCCTGACAGCCAACAGTAATAAACCGAGCCCTGACTTGTAGTGTTTACCAATTTCCATAGTGTAAATACTCCCATCACACATAATTTCCACCTTCCTATGTGCTGTCACTGAACAGAGTTGGAAAGAGATATACATTATTATTTATAGATACAGCAGACATAAATAACTTCAAGAGCATACAGATGAGAGTAAGATGTATAGAATAATAAGAAAGTAATGTTCTGTGCACAAGTAGCCCTCACTTTGGACAGTAGTCTGGAACCATAAAAATAACTGCTCAGGCTGAAACCTTGGAAGTGATGGAAAAACTACAATTGTCTCATGACATTTGAAATTTATTGTTAATGTATTATAAAATCTCTTACTGTTGGTTTTCAGTGTCCAGGGGAAGAAGAAATGGTAAAGCTAGATAAAGCTAAGTTCTCTCTCCTCTCTCTCTCTCTCTCTCTCTCTCTCTCTGTCTGTCTTGGGATTGAACCCAGGGAACTCTGAGCTACACCCTCAACTTCCCACCCTCCTTTTTAAAACTTGAAAAATTTGAGACTGGTAAATTGCCAAGACTGGCATTGAACTTGCTATCCTCCTGCCTCAGCCTCCTGTATAGCTAGGAATTACATGCTTGCATTACCGTGTCTGGCTGTTTTACTGCTTTGTAAAAAACTCACCCACAGTTTAAGCATTGCTTGCATTCTTCTTCCTGTGTAACTTGAGATACATCTTTTCTATACTTTGGCAAATTGTCATATTCCTTTCTAAGTTCGGATTAGCTTCCAGCATTTTATGGGTTGTACTTTGAATGTCATGAAATATCTCTGGAATTCCTCTTATGTGAATGTTTTTTCAGTATCATTTCCTTTCTGGCTTGTCTTCAGCCTTTTTTTTTTTTTTCGATGTCGGGAATTGAGCTCAGGACCTTGCACTTGCCAGGCAGGTGTGGCGTCACTAAGCTACATCCCAGGCCCAGTCTTCAGCCTTTTTGTCAGAAGCACTTTGCTCATGTATGTAGCTAAGTCCGCCTCTCCTGTGTTCCCTGGCTGCATCTGCACGGTCTTCTGAGCAGCATGTGGATCAACATACCTACTCACAGCTATTGCTTCCATGGCTCCATATGCTCCACTTTTATTGCTCACATTATTGCTTTTCATTTCTTTCCTGCACCTTCATCTTTCTGGCCACTTCTCTCCTTAGAATATCCCTTTTTATAAAATGTTATATGGAATCCCAACATTCTGGGAGGCTGAGGTAGGAGGATGGCAAATTTGAGCCCCACCTGGGCAATTTAGTGACTTAGTAAAACCCTGTCTCAAATAAAAAAGTGCTGGTGATGTAGCTCAGTGCAGAGACCCTGAGTTCAATCCCTAATACCACACACACACACACACACACACACACACACACACACACAGAAAGTTATGTGGGTCCATCACTAGAAGACCAGAAAGTAACACAACCACATGCTTTGGTGTCTGTGAACCGAATAACAGGTGAGTGATGATTAGTCACTGACAGCCTTTGAAAAAAGCAATGTGATTGGCTACTGTTCATGAAGCACATCTGTTATTAGTGATTGGTGGACTAAAGGGCTAGCCCTGAAGTGTGTACTTTATGCAATCATTCACAATCACTAAAATTTGAGCTGCATTGTAGGCAGACCAGTGTTACTTAAGTAAATGGAACTTGAACATATTGGCACATGAAGTGAGGGCTGCCTGTATTACCATTGTTTTAATATAATTCAATTGTAAGTTTACATAATTCAGTTTTAAATAATGATGGTGTATAACAAAATTCCTGAAAATTCAGTAATCAGCTCTCACAACTGGGACAAGCCAGATCCAGCCCACCACTGCAAAACTCCATAAAGCCTCAGCCGAGGTGGCACACATGTGTAATCCCAGCTACTTGGGAGGCTGAGGCAGGAAGATCACAAGTAGGAGGCTAGCTTGAGCAACATAATGAGACCCTGTTTTCAAAATAAAATTAAAACGGTCTGAGGGTATAGCTGAGTGGTAGAATATCCTTGGCTTCAATCCCCAGTACTGCAAATGAGAAAAACAAAAGACAACAAATTCCAGAAACCATTTAGCACTTCCCATGTATGTTGACGGCTGAGGAGCTGAGACTTAAATTCACAGGAAGAAGGGCATAGACAGAGCTGTTACACCAAGGCTGATATTTTTTAAACTCTGCAGAATATCTGCATTCAAATAAGCTAACGGGTTACAAGAAGCCTACAACCTTATTGTATATCTTCTGGGTATCTATAAAGAGGAGATGTTTGAAAATCAATAACTTTTAATTAAAATGCAACATTTATTTTAACTAAACTACATCTGTCCCATTTTATTTCTTTTAGGAATAGTGGAGAGAATCTTAGCTTGTGCTAGATTTTACTGCAGTAGCAAGTGGCCCCTAAAGTCTCAGTAGTTGAAAACAGCACGGGTTTATCTCTTGCCCTTGTTATATGTTGGTCCCAGATCAGTGACAAGTTTGGTCCTGGCTACAGGTCACATATACTCCATGGGGCCTGGTCATTCTAGGATCCTAACTTTAGGGGTCATATATATTGGCCATGTTGGCCCAATGGAAGAGAGAAAAATAGCAGAGTTGGACCTTGCGCTGGTTCTTAAGACTGATGAGTGGAATTGGCATGCTGTCACTTTTGTCATAGTACCACTAGCCAGAAAACCCACGTGGCCTAATGTAAGTGAGGAGGAAGAATAATCAGAGCAGGACACACATGGTAACATGAAGTGTAGCCATCTTACAGGAAGTGAGGAGTAGGAACAAAGATGTGTTTTGTTTTTTTGTCTTTGTGAGGAGACAGGAATAACATTTCAAAAACTCCCAAAGTTCAGGGATTTGGTTTTTTACAAATTCTTTCATTGAGATGAGGTAGGTACTTAATTTTCAAAGGTCTCAATACTCCAAGTGTGTCTATCTATCAGCATTGGCACCGCATGAGAGTTTGTTAGAAATGCAGACTCTGGGTGATCCCAGACCTCTTAATCAGAATCATTTTTAAGCACCATCCTCATGTAATCTGTGTGCACGTTAAAATTTGTGAAATGTAAGCCTAGTGGACATTCCTACCTGGATGTTCTTGGTTCCTTTTCCCCTGAACCTGCCTTTCCTATACCTCCAGATGTCTATGCCAATGTCGCCCATCTCTCCCTTCTCCTCCCTCTTTCTTCTCCGCTTGGCCTTATTCATTACCCCTGTCAGAGCAGAGTTTCCTCACCATCCTGTCCTTCTTGGAGCAGACCTAGGAATGTGTCTAACCCTGACTCCCTTCCTTTCTCCTTGTCTACTCCCTTACCCACCCAACCTCCTCATTACTCACCATGGCATCTTTCCAAAGTTCACTTCTGATCAAGATGGTAGCAGCTGAGGTGACGGGGTGGCTCGGGGCAAGAGAGGGGGCCAAGAAATCTATAATCTAAGTGAAAGCAGTCTCAGATCACAGTCAGCTTTGGGGCAAGTCTTTGACCAGTTTCCCCAAAGCTCAAACATCATTCTCAGCTGAGCAGTGGTGGTATTCTGGGGAGGCTGAGGCAGGATGATCACAAATTCAAGCCCAGCCTAGGCAGTTTGGCAACTTAGTGAGATCCTGTCTCAAAATAAAGAAGGGGTTGGGGATGTAGCTCGGTGAGAAGGCCGTGTTCAATCTCCAGTACCAAAAACGAAAACTAAAACCACACAACTCACTTTCAGGTCAATGTCCACATCTCTTAATTTTTCCATACGATGTCCCTCATCTGCCTCACCAATGTAACCTCTCACTGTTTCTTGTACTAAACAATATTAGCAACGAGGTCTTGTCGGGAGATGCCAGTGGATTTACAGTTTCACATCTTGGCACGGTTGAACTGCCCTCTTTCTTGCCCCCATCTTGCATGGCTGTCATGTTCTGGCTCCAGGGTCACCTCCTCTGCAAGCTTCCTCTGACCTGGAAAGAGATTTACTATCTCCTACCTTATGTCATTTTCACCCACGGCATAAATAATTGTTTGGTAATTTTATTTCTCCCTAGCTACATCCTGACACTTTGGAGGACATGGATTTTGTTTTACTCATCTTCATAATCCCATGTAATAGTGTTGGGTTATAGTAGGTGCTCAGTAAAGGTTTATTGAATGAATGGAGTGAAGGTTAAAATGAGGGCTTAAATCAGGCATTGAGAAGTGGTGTGATCGGATTAATATACAAAAAGGGTTTACAGTTAAGCACATAACAGGCACTCAAGAATTGAAAATGTGATTATTATTGTGCATGTTGTCTCTAAAAGGGTGATGGTTTTGTCTAGTCTGAGATACAGCAACTGGACTGTCTAATAAAATAGAAATGTTTTTGGCAGATGAAAAGGGTCATTTGTTCTTTAAAGGAAAGACATTTACTGCTAGTATGCTAATACCCCTTGTTAGAATATGCATTCCTTATAATATACTTCGTATGGACCTTTCAAGAATGATAGATATTTAAAGTGAAAATTTAAATATAAAATCCCTTTCTTTTTGTATGCTTGAGAAAGATTATATGACAATAATATCTAAGCTTTATGAGGTACCTCATTCCATGTTTAGTTTTTGTCTTTAAAACAGTTTTTTTTTTTTTTCCAGTACCAGGATCGAACTCAGATCCTTGAGCTTGCGCAGCAGGTGGCAAAACCATGCAGCTAAATCCCCGGCAGTAAAACAGCTTTCTTGAGATATGATTTACATTAAGAATTTTCTTGTTTTAATTCAGTGAACTTTAGTATCTCCAGAGTTGTATAACTTTATGACCACAATTTAGTTTTAGAACATTTCTATCACCCTATTGTGCCATTTAATCACTCCCCTGGTCTCAAGCAATCACTGATCTACTTTTTGTTTCTTTGGGTTTGCCATTTTTTGGGGGATATTTTATATAAATGGAATTACAGAATACATAATGTGTTGTGATTGGCTTTTTTCCATTTGGCATAATATTTTCAAGGTTTATCAGTGTTACAGCATGTATCAGTTCATTGTGCCTTTTTATTGAGGAATAGTATGGTGTTTTACCAAATGTGTTCATTTTTTTACCAGCTGATGGATATCTGGGTTGCTTTCCCTTTTTGGTTATTGTGAATAATGATATTACAAATATTTGTATAGATATATTTGTGAGGACATATGTTTCTATTTGTCATGGGTAGATACCTTGACATCTTGGGTAGACATTTCCAGGTTCCTTGAAGGGATATGAGGTACAGAGTTTTAAACTTTTTTCAAGGTTACCAGTTCTTAGTGATGGAGTTAGAGCTTGAAGTCAGATTGTAAATCACTGAGATTTTCAATGGCCAATCCTAGTTCCCACCCTACTGTGCCTAAGAAAAATGCGTAACACAGTGAAGGACAGAAGGACAAAGAGATACAGTGAAAATAAGTGAGCCTCATAGTTCCAAAGGTTAGACTATGTCCCTGCTCTGCAACTGAATGAGCCCTAGAAGCTACTGAAATATCATGTAATCAGTACTACATCAGGGCAAATGATCTTCCTGAAACATAAACACAATTCCTCTGCTTAAAACTCTCCCATAGCTCCCTACTGCCCTCTGGCATCGTTAATTCAACTGCGTCTTTTTGCCCTCCAGGGCAGTTCCTGTCTGCCAGGCACCCAAAGGGCTGGGAACTAGGATTGGCCATTGAAAATCTCGGTAATATTACAGGCATACACTACCATGCCCAGAGGAAGTCCTTTTTCATGAATGTCTTTAGCTGCACTGTTGTGGCTGCCTTGATGTCCTGAATTAATTCAAAACGATTACCTTTCATGGTCATTTTACTTTGGGGAAGACCCAGAAGTCACACGGTGCCAGATCCAGTGAGTAAGGTGGATGAGGTCATGGTAATGTTTTTATGAGCCTGCCTTTCCATTGGGTGACATTTGACAGCAGCATTCACTGTATTTTTTTTAATCACACCTGATAAAAATACTCAGGAAAGAGGACTTCCAAAACTGCTTCAGATAGTGGCAAGAATGATGAAATAAATTCATTCAAAGTGAAGGGGAAGTATTTTGAGGGGAATTAAGGGCAATATGTCTTTTTTTGTAGTAAACTTCTAAATTCAAAAACATTTTGGTCACCCCTCCTATATCTGTAGTTTTCTTAAGGTTGTGGGAGGCAAGGAAAACCATGTTAAAATTTTCATTTTAAATTTCTTCCACTTTGTTTTTTAATATGAGATCTATAAATTGTCTGAGTGTCTCCATGGCACTCAGGGCACCACTGTTTATAAGGATGCTTTCATTCCAAAACTGGTGCGTGTTTGCTTGCCCTCAGCACAGGTCCCCGGCACCCTCCACTCCATCCTCTGGGCTCCAGCGTGATTGTGTGTTTACTCTTCTGCCCCACTGACTCTGAGATTTCCGATCAGCAAGGGTGGGAGCAGAGCCTTGCTCAACCTAGAAACCCTAGGACTCAGGACAGACCCAGCCCTATGAAAGGAGGCCTTGAGTATGGAGTGTCAGCCTTGAGCTGTTTCTCCAGTGCCCGAGTGAGGAGAAGCATCAGCCTCCTGCAAGAAGCATAAAAGCAGAGGCCCAGATATTCTCTGCACCCACTGTAATGGCCAAAATTTCAACTGAGGGTCTGAAACCACTGCCCAGAGATTGATCTTTCTTCTCTGCCTAATGAGACACTTTGGACAAAAGACACTGATTTTTAAATTTTTTGATTTTCAGTAGTACATGTCGGCAGTACACAATGATTACCATTGTGAGGAGCTGGTCCCAGTACTAACACATCTTAATTCTTTATACTTCCCCTTTCCTCCCCTAAGACACTGATTTTTTTTTTTTAAAGCCATGTAACAATAAATTTACACGTAGGGAAAGTCCCAAAGCCGTAGTTCAGTAGACTAAAATGAACAAAAGTGTTTATGGTTTCAGAAGGTTGCAATTGTCATATAATATATAAATAAGATTGATTGAATGCATAGTCTGTGTCAAGTATACTTCTAAATGACTGACATGTAACAACCCAATCCTTAAAACAACTCAATGAGGGAGTTACTCTGATCATTCTAGTTTTATAGATAGGATTTACTGCAACTATGTGATTTGCCCAGCGAGTGGATGGCATAGTCTGAATTTAAATCTACATTAGTCTATACAGTCACTCACCAATCAGGGACCCATCAATCAAGGATTTCATGGACCTTCCTGTGGTGGCAGAAAACCCTTCCAGAGTTGTTCCTGCTGGGTGAGGATAAGGTACAAACTGGATGGCAGCATCACAGGCTCCCTGCATCTACCTCCAATGTGGTTCCCCAGGGCCCAAGGGTGTCCCCGAGGTCCCTCTGTGCCCCTCACTGGATACTTTGCCCTTTTCTGTAAAATGCTGCAAACTTTCATGTCTTTCTACCTTGCCATTTGGTGTGCCTGGCAAACTTCAACTTGAAGTTTCCTTCTTCAACTGTTCTCTCCTTCCTGGGAGAAACAGCCAGCCATTGCCCATGGCAATGGCGACCTGCACATATGTCTGTTGCATACTTACCCAGTTTCTCTAGACCACCGCTATGCATGCCTGTTCCATCACAGGACTGTGGGCTTCTTCAGGGTCAGGACAGTGTCTCTCTGGTCTTGAGGCCGGTCTCACCAGTATCATTGGAAACTGAAAAGCAATTTATATCTTGTCCAAGTCTGGCAAAAAAATGGTGATGGGAAAATGCCATTGACAACTCAGAGGAAACCTTTTTGAGATGTGCACTTGCTAGCTCTCAACCCCATGGGTGTTTCCCTTCCTCCTCTCTCCTCATTCTCTAATTCCTCACAGAGAACCTGCCAGTGGTTGGATCTTGCTTGTCTTGCTTCACACACAGCTCTCTCCTCTCCTGGATCTTTTCCACCTCAGAGGCCAGAATCTCTGTCTCTTCTGTGTGAATACAGCCAGCGGCTTACAGATGTGGCTGCTAACAGGTCCATGTCCTTCCCATCACACCCACCTTTGTGTCCTCAGCAGTGAAGTCAGAGCCTGGTATAGGACTGTTGCTCCTGAAGGTGATTTCCCTTTTTTTCTCCCTCACCCCTCCTTTTAGGGAAAAGCTCAAATGTGTCCAAGGCCTTCTACAAATTGGCTTCAACATCGCTTCCCCTCTCTACCTCCTACTTCCCCTTGATTTGAATTCTAGGGTTTGAACAGGCAGCCCTACCACCCCAGGCTGCATTTTCCTGCCTCCCTCCCCATCTCTGCTGAGCCCACTCCTCTCCCCGTGGTCCTCAAAGCCTCCTCCAGCGCTCCAGCCCTGTGTGTGTCAGTCTGGCTTTACCTGGGCAGCCACCCTCACCACTCCTGTCTCCTTGTCTCTGGGATCACCATTCGTCAACATTCTTCTCGTCTCACCTGCTACATGAATCATCACTATGGGCTGGCTTCCTCCTTCATGTCCCAAATTGACTTCATATCCTGCTTTATTGCCTCAACTATACTGCAAGTTTATTTATGTATTTATTTTTTGTGGTACCGGGGATCAAATTCAGGACCTTGCGGTTATGAGGCAGGTGCGGCGCCACTGAGCTCCATCCTGGCCCCTTCTGCAAGTTTCTTAATACAAACCCAAGTAACAACTAATTTAATTGAAGAGCAATGATAAATCCTGACCCCTGCAAGGTAAGGCTAAGTATCCCTTATCTGAAATGCTTGGGATTGAAGAGTTTTGTTTGTTTGTTGTTTTGGGATTATGAAGTATTTGTGTAAAATTTACTGTTTGAACATCTCTCTCCAGTTTGAAAATGTGAGAAAGGAAATGCTCCAAAATCCAAAACTTTTGAGTGTGATGCTCAAGGAATATCATATTTTGGAGCAGTTCAGATTGTGGATGAAGGCTGCTCAACTTGTATTATCATATTTCAGTAAATCTGAGGCTCATTATAGGACATATCTGACTTCTGAGAAGTTAGCATGTGGGGAAAAAAACATGTCTTCAATGAAATCTGTTGTTATTTCTGTCCTACCGAGTGCAATAAATGAGTTTAAATGCTTTTCCAAGCCCTCTGGCTGGTGTGCTGTGCCTTGAACATACCAGGCTGGCTCTGCCACACTCTTTTGGCTTTCCTGTTCCCTATTTTGAAATGCTTTTCCAGCATAGCATTGTCCCTCACTTCCTTCTGGTCTTTAATCAAATGTTACTTTCTGCATGCTTGTAATCTCAGCTCCTTGGAAGGCCGAGGCAGTAGAATCACAAGTTTAAGCCAAGCCCGCACAATTTAAGAGACCTAGTGAGACCTTGTTTCAAAATACAAAATAAGAGCTGGGGATGTAGCTCTGTGCCAAAGGCCTGGGTTCAATCCCCAGTTTAAAAAAAAGTTGCCTTCTTACTGAGGCCTCTCTTCACCCAATTTAACATTGCAACACCCCCACCCCCTTCCATTCTTTTACACTGATTTTTCTCCATGGCATTTATTACTGCCTGGTATTCTATTAGTTACAGGGATTTTGTTCATGGCTGTTGTCCTGTGTCTGGAATAGGGCTTGCCACATAACAGGCAGTATTGTTGGATGAATGAATACTGTTGGGTGAGCTTCACCAGGTTGAGGGTGCATTATTTTTCTTGCTTGTGTGCCTAGTGCTTTACTGTAGCTACCAAGGAGTGGGTGCTCAAGAAATGCTTATGGACTGAAGGCTGTAGGAAGCACCTTAGAACTCGTTAGCTTGCTTAAGGCCATCTTGCCTGGCAAAGGTGGGAGCAAGAGGGCAGTTCAGCTGACTTCGACCACTTGTCCCCTCGGTAGTGGCTGTTCAACTCTATTTTGGGGAGAGGGATTTTTGCAGAGATGTCACCCTGGTCTTCTCAGTGCCCAGCGCACTGCTTTGCACGTGCTATGGCTGTAACACATATTTAGAATGTGTTTTAATCCAGCCAGTGTTATATTGCTTCAGGTCCTCAGGGGTAAAGGGGGCATGCAGGTGTCCGCAGGGCCCTCAGACAGGAAGGGCGCAAAGAGCACAAAGCGCTCCCGGCCACCCACCAAGAGCGGTTCCAAAAGCCAGGCTGAAGAGCCTGCTGGCCGCTTCACGTTGACCATGGCCGCGTACACCCCGTTTCCCGGGTCAGACGACCTCTCCCGCCAACCTTCCCTCCTCTAGGGGAGAGACTGACTGGGAAAGGAGGCGAGGAAGGCCCCGGGGCGGACCTCCGCCTTGCGGGAGCGGCCGCCCGCTCGGGGTCCCCTCCTGGGCGCGGGGCTCGGCGGGGGCGCGGGTGCGGGGGGCGGGCGGTGGCTCCGCGCGGGGATGCGCGCGCGCGCCGGCCTCGCCTCCCTCGCCCGCTCCGGTGCTACGTGCTTTCTTTGTCAATGAGGCGCCACTCCGAGCTGCAGTAGCCCTCGCGGCCGGGGAGCCCGAGCCGGAGCTGGTGCCCGAGCCCCTGCGCGTGAGCGGCGAGCAGCGAGCGAGAGGGCCCAGGGCGGGCCGGAGAGGCAGCGCCGCGGCGGGAGCGAGGGA